GTGAAGACAAGAGATAGTGTTAACACTACCCAAAGAGCCTAGAAGTTGCAAAATCAACAACTATTGAATGAGGAGTTTTGGGTGCTGCAGCAAGGAGTTTTGAACGTGCAAAAGCAGCTGTCAGCCTGTGATGAAGAATTGTTACTGCTGCAGCAGATAGTTGGGAAAGAGCTAATGCACACTTTGGCTGACCATGGAGCAAAACCAATAAGCCTTTTCTTTATCTTTCTTTTCTATTATAGTGATAAATTTTGGTTATTAGCTTGCTTAGTCATAGATAGCATAGTAAATAATAGAATAGAAAATATGCTCTTTTATATAAAAATTAAAAAGATCAATTTTGATGGGTGGCCCATTTGAACAAGTTTTCCTTTTCTTTTAGCCTTATAGTTTTAGTTTTTGTTTTGTCTTCTAGATTTCTTTCTCAATTTACTTATCTGTACAATATATTTTTGAGAGTTGATTAATTATATTTGATTTTATATGATGCCTAGTGAAATCTGTATTTGTAATTAAAGTTATTGAAAAATGGGTATGGGCCGTCATTTGTATGAATGGAGTGTAGACATGGTTGTTAGTAAGTAACAATTATAATGTAGGTTTGTTGTTGGATCCATGGTTCTAGATTGAGTTTATACTTTTTTTCAGCTCATTGGTAATTACCGAAGGCTTTTGCCCCTCGGTAATTACCGAAGGCTTTGCCCCTCGGTAATTACCGAGGGGCAAAGGCCGTCAGTAAATGTTAGCGACAAGGGATTTATCGACGGTCATCTGACCGTCGATAAGCCGTCGGTAAAAGGTCATTACCGACGGCTTCTGGCGGTTTCCGAGGGATTGTGGCCTTCGGTAATGTCCTTCTTTTTTGTAGTGTTCTATATTTACTCTATGATTTGAAATAGCTTTTACCACAACCAGTTCCTCTGTTTTGTGACAATCAATCTACTATAAAAATTGCAAGAATCCAGTCATGAATGAGATGACAAAGCATATTGAAATTGGTTGTCATCTCATAAGGGATAAAGTTCAAGCTGGTTTAATTAAGCTCTTGTCCATTTCTACTTCAGCACAACTTGCAAACATTCATAATAAAGCTTTGCATCCAGCACAATTTCAATCTTTGTTGTCCAAGTTAAGCATTAAGGATATAAGTTGCAGCTTGAGGGGATATTGGATTTAATTTATTTTCCGTTCATATTTGTTCATCTATGTTCATATATTTATATTCTGTTTTTATATTGTTTTAAACAACTGTATATATAAATTGTACTCTCTCCTTATCATTGAATATGATATACAATTTTCATCCTTTTTTTCTCATAACATGGTATCATAGTCATGGTTAGAGCCTATCCTAGCGAGATCTATGTGGCATTTTGTTCCACATCGGACCGCTATCGATCGGACCACCTATTAATTTCTACTATCACGCTTGAGATGTCTATACATCAACGTGAAGGGGTGTGTTGGAAGTCTCACATCGACTAGAGATAAGACCAAATTATAATATATAAGTAGGGTGCAAACCTCACCTTACAAGCAAATTTTGTGGGGTTGAGTTAAACTTAAAGTTCACTTCTTAATATAATAGTTTAAAACAATATAAAAACGAAATATAAATATAAAAATAGAATATAAATATATAAACATAAATAAACATAAAGAAAAAATAAATTAAATCCAATATTTATCCGCATCTCATGTGACGTTACTATAATCCGAGAGTTTCTCACATTAGAGATATGTTCTTCCCTTTGTAATGGTGGCGGTCTTTCTAAAACATTAATTGTGGTATTACCCATGTTTTTTTATATTTGGTAAAGTTCTATTCATTTTCCCATAAAATGGAGTTGTCAATTCAAACTCTTGGGAAAATGGTGCATGTGGGTGTGATGTTTCGGGACATGAATATCATTTTCTGAAGTGGTCCCATTAATGTGAAGTTGCAAATAATTGAATAGAAGGTGGCTATTTCAGAACCACAGCAAATAAAAAGAAATAAAATGGTTGCAGATTGCGGTCTTATTCCATTAAAAATAAATCAACTTGCCCAAGACTTTATATTCCAAGTTCTATACTTTGTGGTTCCTCGTAATCTCTTTTATGTGATTAGCTTCACCATTTTCTAATGGTGGGACACAAATTCAGAAATTTCAAACCCACTTCCATCGCAAACAACGTATATTCAATTGCCTTCAAAGGAAGAACATTACACTTCCATCCAAGAACATTGGAATGTCAGCATTTTTAAACTACTAGTCTTACATATTCTAGATAAAATACAATAACAATAGAAAAATACCAGAAAATACCATGTTATTATATTATTAAGTTACGAAAAAATTCGTGAAATTACATTTTATATTTTCAGTTTATTTTATCCTTAGTATACTCACTTCTCTTGATTTTTTTTTTTAAAAAAAAAACACTACACCAATTGAGTTTTTTCTTTAGAGAAAATGTCAATAAGATTTAGAATTAACGAGTCAAAAACATTTTATATAAATAAAAAAAAGTTAAAATTTATGTTCTACTCGATCTTTTAAAACAATAGATATATGAGTTTTTTTTGTATTGTTTTCATATTCATTCCTATTTAATGTACAACCCTAACTCCTTATTTGTTTGAAAAATATATTATATATGCATCTCTATAAAAGGGATTTTATGGTAAATGACAAAGGAAAGTGTTTAGGTTATTTTACAAAATTTTAGTATGACTATTGCATGTACTCTACTTGTTATTGACTGAAAATTATAAAAAAAAATACAAAATTTACTGTTCATATTTGTCAATAGGTCTTATTTGTGTGATTTTGTGGATTTCGATAACACTAATACTAAAGTATGTCAGCAAGAGTATATCATAGAAAGTTTTCCAATACTTTCTGGTTTTTATATTTTGACATTACAACTTTATATACCCTTTATGGCAAAAGTGCAAGAGAAGAGTACAATTTGGGTTTTCTAGTGTTTAGGTTAAACACACAATTTAGTTCATAGACGTACTTGTAGAATTTCAATTTGATTCCAACGTATTAGAACTTCTTTGTATGTATATACATGCAATTATTGATTTGGTCTTGTCATATGACATCATCTCTATCTCTAGAAGTTCTAAATTGATATTAACTTCATGCATTATCATATTTTTAATTTCATCCCTTTGTGCTTAAAGTATTCTTAATTTGGCTATTTACTTTAAACGTCTTTAAACCAACCTAATAGGTACCATCCTTGTATCTTTAATTTATCATAAATGATTACACTTTGCTTTTAAGCATTTTGGGTAAAATATGCTTTTTTTTTTTTATTATGACTATTTATATACAAATGATAATTTATCAAATATAAAAAGCGGTGTACTGAAATAATTATATATAAAATAACACTTTTTATACGGATTGTAGTTATAATTGTATGAATGCAGTAACATATTTGTAATAAAAAAAGAAATATTTTTATATTGGTTATAGTTATAACTAATACAAAAAGTGGACGATTGACATTTTTCTAATAAATAAAAAAAATTTCTATACTGATGATAATTATAATTGTATAAAAAGTTGATGTGGTAACATTTTCGTAATAAACAAAAATATTTTTTATTGTTGTTTTAGTTATAACCGGTATAGAAAGTGATTTTTCCCTTGTAGTGATTTTCTACTTTCAGTCCAAAATAGCCTAGGTCTGCAAATGAATCAAAACATTTGAAACAACATTTGTCACGCCTTACCATTATTCATCCTCATCATCATTGGAAATATTTGAATTTGAAACTTTTCTTATCCGGTTTTGCTTCTTTAGGTGATGCACTTGATGTTGTTCATGGTTGCTTGCAGTTATACATTTGCAATGGAGAGAGATATAATTTCTAACTACGTGTGGTTTTGCATCTTGGAAGTTCAGTCTATGTTGTAATGGAGATGTGATTTGGGGTCACCATGGTTTGTGCAATCTGTAGAGGGGATGCTCGTGTTTGTTGGCGCGCGATGCAAGTTCAATGTTGTTGTCTCATGGTGGTAGCGAATCTTGGAAATTTCCTTCTTTGACGAGGTAACAAGGAGGTATGACAATATGTGTCGTGGTAATGGTTACGTTGAAAAGGTATAATGAGTGAGTGATGAAAGTCGATATGTCACTGTTCGAGGTTTGTGGATTGCGCGATTTAGGAACTTGTGATTTGTTGCGTGCTTATTCCTGTGATTAATGACTATGTGTAGGTGTTGCTTCAACGAGGCATAAGAACGTTGGCATGGTGGATTGCAGTGGCGAACAGTTGTTTGAATGTGGTTGTCTTGATTTTGACTCGTGAAAGAAGATGAACTATTGCTAAATTTTTTTATTGTACGTTTAACCGGTGTAAAAAGTTATACTTTCTGGATCAATTCTATAACCAACACCAAAAGTGAATACTTTTTATATTCTTTGCTTTTTCTATACTAATTATATAAAAAATCATTTTTGATAGTTATAAAAAAATAATTCTCTATATGTGAATCATTAACCCTTGCATGGCTCAGTTTCACTCTTTTCAACATAACTTAAACATGTGTTTAAATAAAGGGCTTCTAGTATTGTTTAACATCATATTAACATTAAAGTTATTGAAACAAAACTCTCTTCCATTAAAAGAGAAAAAAATTAGTTGAAAAAGAAAACTTCATCCAAGTTTTGAAAATTCATATGAACATAAATTTAGTATAAAAAAAATCCTAAAATAGGATTTCACATCAACCTTAATTCATATGAACATAAATTTAGGTTTGTTTAACTAATGTGAAACTCAATTTTCTTGAATCTTCTAGCTATCGGTAGGGCGTATGCCATAAAAAATGATATATATGAAAAATATAATTTCAAAAAATTCTGAAGAAAATTACATTCGCATCTGCAGTTGGTTCGTATCATTATCGTTCACATGTGAGAACATGACAAAGAAGACTTTCCTTGCATGTTCTTGGCTTTGACCAATTCAGTACTTAAATAAAGGCCCCCACATGGATTCACTTGTCAATCAAAATGCCAAAATCTCTCAGCATTATTGGTTTATTATCTCTTATGGCTTCTCAAGCTCTTGTTCTTGTCTTCCTCTTATTTCCCTTTTCCTTACACCAAGTTGTTGCCTCCTCCTCCAATGGTTTGATCTTTGAAGGATTTGATGAAAACAGCGATATAAGCCTTGAAGGATCTTCCATCATCAAAACCAGTCGTTTACTTAAACTCACTAACAGATCAACCAATATTATAGGCCATGCATTCTACAAAACACCCTTCCAAATGCTTAACAAAACAGACCCTCCCCTTGAACCCTCTGCTTTTTCTTTCAGCACCTACTTTGTGTTCTCAATTGTATCCCCTAGTTCTGGTTCTGGGGGCTTTGGCCTTGCCTTCACCATAGCGCCATCAACACAGTTTCCTGGGGCTGAGGCTGGCCATTATCTTGGTCTTTTTAACTCCGCCAATGATGGGAATGACACAAATAACATCTTTGCGGTGGAGTTTGACACTGTAAATGGTTACAAAGGTGACTCGGACAGTGAAGGAAACCATGTTGGGGTGAATATAAATGGAATGGACTCAAGGATTACTGAACCAGCTGCATACATTAAAGAGGGTACTGAGAGTGTAAAGGAGGATTTCAGAATGGCCAAGGTTGATGCTGTCCACGCTTGGATAGAGTATGATGGTGAAAAGAGAATTCTGAATGTAACAATAGCTCCGTGGGAATTATCAAGGCCCAGCACACCACTCATAAAGAATTACAACGTTGACCTTTCCAACGTTATGAAGGAAAACATGTATGTTGGTTTCTCAGCATCGACTGGCCAGGAAACAAGCTCTCATTATCTTCTAGGGTGGAGTTTTGCAGTGAACGGTGTTGCTATGAATTTGTCTAATCTTCCAGAGCCACCACCCAAGGAGGAAGATCCCTCTTCGTTTCCTTGGGTCAATGTTGTAATTGGCATCTTGTCCGCTTTGACTTTGAGCCTTCTGTGTCTTCTAATTCTTCTGACATGTTATAAGAGATACATGGATTTTGAGGTTCTTGAGGACTGGGAGATGGATTGTCCTCACAGGTTCAGATACAAAGATCTTCACCTTGCCACAGAAGGGTTCAAAGAGAGCCAACTAATTGGAATTGGAGGCTTTGGTGCTGTGTACAAAGGTGTCTTACCAACTTCAGGAACTGAAGTTGCTGTTAAGAGGATTGTGAGGAGCCCTTTCCATGGAATGAGGGAATTTGCAGCTGAGATTGAAAGCTTGGGAAGGTTGAGACACAAGAATTTGGTGAACCTTCAAGGATGGTGCAAGAAAAAGAATGATCTCCTTCTCGTCTATGATTTCATTTCAAATGGAAGCCTTGATTGTGTCCTATATAACCCCAACAACAGCTTTGTCTTGAACTGGGGGCAAAGATTCAACATTCTCAAAGGCATCAGTGCTGGACTATTGTACTTGCATGAAGAGTGGGAGCAAGTGGTGATCCATAGAGACGTGAAAACTAGCAATATTTTGATAGATGGAAACTTGAATGCACGTTTAGGTGACTTTGGACTTGCAAGGCTCTATAACCATGGTCAAGTATCACACACAACCAGGGTGGTTGGAACCATTGGCTACATTGCACCAGAGTTAACTCGCACAGGAAAAGCTTCTACAAGAACTGATGTTTATGCATTTGGGGTTGTGCTTCTTGAAGTGGTCACAGGTAAGAGGCCTCTTGATTCAGATCAGTTTTTCTTGGTCGAATGGGCGATTGAGAATTACCATTTGGGTCAAATTCTTGAGGTGGTTGATCCTAAGCTGAATTCAGTTTATGATGAGGAAGAAGTTGAGTTGGTTCTCAAGTTGGGTTTACTATGCACTCAACGTAGATCAGATTATAGACCTACCATGAAACAAGTTACAAGGTACCTAAACTTTGATGACCCTCTTCCTGATATTGGTGATTTGGGATATGGTGGTTCTAATAGCAGCAGCAGAATGAACTCAGGTTTCTTAGAAGTCACGCCATCTTTGAGAACTGTTGAAACATCTGGGTATCTGTCCTCCATTAGCATGAGTACCAAGTCCTTGGATGCTGGTAGATAGCAAATAATCATGTTCTAGCATTTTCTACCACTGTATTTCTCTGAATATATTCATAGTTCTTCTGTAATTCTTTCATTTCTTTCTATTAACAACCAAAAGATAATAACGTTGTTTTTTGGCAATGTAAGATTTCCTTTGCTTAATCAATTAACATGTTATGTTATAAGATTAGGAAATGAACAAGCTTCAGTTTTATGTTAAGTTAAAGAGAATAATCTCTGCATGAACTTGTAAATTTAACTGGATTATAATTTTGTTTCTGTTCCTTCTATTTTGCTTTTTTTTCTCCAAATTTGTATACATCATTATTAGCCTTTTGAATTTTTTTATATATTCAAATAAAAATTTCTTATTAGTAAAAAAAGTATTCGTTTCAAGGATTAAAGTTTGAGAATTTTTACAAATACAGAGACAAACTATTAGTATATAAATATCATGGACGAAAATTAAAATACGAAAACTTTTCTAGAACTGTTATGATCTCAATTAACAATTCAGAAAGGATTAAATGGTTAACTTTTTAATTAAATTATTATATTTCAATTTTAATAAGTTGAAAAAAATTATTACTGTATATTTAAACACACCCGAAAATTTATGATAATATACTTTAAAAGAATTAGCCTAAGTAGAAGTCAGACCAAGTCCTTGTTCTTAATCTTTCAAAAGATTTCTTTTTATTTTCTGTTACATATTTTATTATTATATAGTTTAGTGCAATAACAATTAAACTGTGTTTTTTCATTGGTTTATAAGATTCAAAATATACTGAAATAATGTTTCTTTAAATTAATTACTTTTATTCATTTTTTTTAAAAAGTCTTATTCTAAACTTTTGTTGCTTTAAAGACTTTTTCTATTGTAATTGTTTGAAGATGAGAGAGATGTGGGAAGTGATTTGATAGATGTGAAAGTCATTTAATAAACACTTTGACGTTGAAGAAATTTTTACTTGTTTTCTAACTTCCACGTTTAAGAAATTCAGACGTTCTTTTTAAAGAAATTTAGACGTTATTGTTAACTAATCTTGTCGGATAGTTATTACATTAGATAAAATTCCAAAATTGATGTCTGTGAAAAGGTCAAAAAGATAATTTTTTAAGTTATACAATAACTATTTTAAAAGCCATATAAATAATGAATTTTGATTAGAATATCAAATAACTAATACTAATATCAATATATACAGCGGAATCAAATTAGATGAATTCGATCTAATTTTTAAATTAAAATTCCATATCATAATTAGTATTGTTTTTTTTACAAATTTTGGAGCATAAAATGTTTATATCGATCAAATAAGAATTCTCCATATATTTATATTGAATCTAATTTTATAATCAATTAAATAGCAAAACTTTCATGAATATCCTCCAATAATGATATGCTACCTTTCTCAACTATTAAATGAAAAGTTTGATAGATTAATTACAAATAGTTTGACTTGGTTTCTTTCTCAAGTTATGAGTTGATACAAGGAAAGAGGAGTAAAGGATGAAAATTCCTTTTCCCTTAATTACATATTTGACCACTATCATTTTATGAATATTAAGCTTTAAATCTTTTCACATTTTAATATTAAAATATTCTCCGTACATTTCATCATGTTGATGATAAAACGATACCATTTTACAATAAAATTAATAATAACATGACGTCATTTTTAAGAGCCAAAGCTATGAGTAAATTGTATGAAACTTTATAAAATATATAACGATAAAACGTCTAAGAAATAAAGTTGAATAATAAATGTATAATGTGAATACATGGTAATTTAGAAGTGGTATTGATTTAAAAGTAGTAAAATTTGATTATTTGAATATTAAAGTATTTTAATATTAATATTATGAAAAAAAATTATTATTTTAAAATATATTATTTTTTAGAAACTATGTTTTTAGAGTTATTTTATTTTTCTTTAGGAGTTATTGTCTTTTGTTCGTCTAGTTGAAGAATTGAAACCATATAATTGATCGTGGTGGTGAATTCTTCATTTTAGATTTATTAGTTTCTCAGATAAGGTAAGTTGGTTTTTTCTCCTCTTTTGGTATGTTTTGTCTTTATTTGCATGTACATTTGTGTATGCATGTGAACACTTGAGTCTTTTATGAGACTCTCTATTCATCAATGATCCTAAAGGTGTACCCTGATCATGTTTTGGTGGTTCGTAGGAGCATATAGGACTTCCTGTGCATTGGTGTTGTTTTCGGCTTTCTAGACCGGTTTGGTCATCTGTAAGGTAAAGGAAGCTAAATACCTTACTTCCATAATTTTAGTAGCTTGATAACCTGAGTTTGTAGGTGGTAATTGTATGGATTAATTATTGAAATTTGTTTTGAATTCTATGATAGTGGATTATGTGCCATGTTGAAATTAGTACTATGAATTATGGTTGTAGACAGCTTGTTGAGTTGTAATGAGTTTTTGATGATTTGTGAATGATAGGATTTATGTTTTAAATTGGTCATTTTGGTAACAGGTTTGAGAGCTATTTAAAAATTGGTCTAGAATTGGTGGTTTGAAAGGTGAAATTTTGTGGAGATTGTTTATGGAGTGAACTTGATATGAGGAGTTTGTGTTTGCGTCAATTAAGACTTTATTAACTTCTTGTTCTTCTAAAATTTGGTCTTTCATATGCTAAGTTGTTGTTTGGGGTTGTGGTGGTTGTTGGTTTGATCTAATGGACTGAGTCATTGGCCACTTGAACAACTTGGTATTCAATATGATGTTTAAACATGTTTTCGAATCAATTTTAGTGTCAAGAATACTAATTTAGTCATGTGGATAGTGCTTGAGTGCAATCAGATCAAGAATCACAGTTTCTGGTTTCTAGTGCGATGTTGAACAACCTTTTGTACGCTGAGCACTGCAAAGTCAGAGAGCCTCTAGGCTTCAGGACGTTGAGTTAGACGTTGAACGCTGCAAGTCAGAGAGCTCCTGTCTTATGTGACGTTGAGCGACACTTTTAGGCACTAAATGTCACTTCTCCTCTACATGTCTGGATTCTTTTTCTTTTTAATTCGCTAGGCAAGAGATCTGACTCACTGTGTGTCTGGATTCTTTTTGCTCTTTATGTGTTTTTTGATTATTGATTTGAATTGGTTTATTTTGATTTAATGTATGCATGTGGATAATTATTGATGCTTTATGATGGTAATAATGGATGTGTGTATGGACTAAGTACGTGGTAAAAGGAATTTCATAGGGAAATTCTTATTGTATTTCTATAGTGGGATGTATTGATGTAAGAGCTCCGAAATGGGGGATGATTCTTAGACTCTTAATAACCATTCAGTTTCAAGTAGAGAATGGTGGGGTATGTCGTGGAGAGTAACAAGAGGTCCTGAGTCTAGTAGTTACATATTGGCCATAAATGTTTGATGGATTAACATTGGTGTGTGGTAATTTGATGTGAGTGAGTTGTTTCACCACACGCGGGTGTATGTCTCTTAAGAATTCGATATCAATACATGTATTCGGATGATCAAGTCTAGAAATGGTTGTATGTTTTAAGATTGATTGATTTTACTGTGTTATATGCTTACTTCTATAAAAGTGAGATATGATTACTTTTGGTACATTAATTTACATTTTCCTTTCTATTTGTCTGTTAGTGTGTTTCTTTTTTTTTGTTATGATCATCTTAATGATATGAACATATGGAGATGTTTCAATTGATCTAGTGAAGGACGAGAGTGATGTTAAAGCTTAGAAGTAGACAATTTTTGCTTTTTGTTTCATCAATCTTGAAAATTAGTATTATGCTTTTGTTTTCAGTGTAATAGAACTCTTAAAGGTATAAAATATTGGTATGTGTATATATTTGATGTTATGGTTATATATGAGATAACTGTAATAGTCATATGTACATATTCTTTTTGGAGTTATATGTTCTCTCAACCGTTTATATGTGATATCTTTTCTAGTAATTGTATACTACTAAAATAGGATATTACATACACAATAATAATAATAATAATAATAATAATAATAATAATAATAATAATAATAATAATAATAATGGGATGGTAGAATGTAAAATTAAACCAATGTCTTTTTAATAGTATGGAATTATTTAGTAAATTTTTTCCTTTTCTATTTAAATATTAAATTTAGTCAAGTGATGTATTTCTAAAAATAAACCAAATGTTCATTGTAACATCCCAAAAATACAGTCTAAAACTATATATAATAGAATAATCACATTTAGTAATATTACAGCTCAGTCTTACATTTAAAGATAAAGTACGGTTATGGCCGAACGACCTTACAGAAAGAGTTACAAATTTAAACTGTACAAGGAAAAACAAAAGGAGAAGGTTTACAAAAATCTATACAGAACGGTCAAGGAAACACAAAAGGAGAAGGTGATCGAACGATCACCTTACTATCATACGAAACTACTGACCGAACATTCTACTGTTCGGTCTTAACTTCTACCTCGACTAGGTTTTCTTCTTCCAACGCCTCTTCCAGCAGCTCGTCTCCTTCTGCTCACATCCACAACGGATGATCATTGCAATGACAAAGACGAACGTACAAAACAGACAAGACAGGAAACACAAGGTAAGCTTATATAATTTAATTCATGTATAAACATACATTTCTCACAAACAAACACACAAGATAAATTTCATCATACGTTTCATGCAAAGTCTAATACTAGACTGACTGTCCGGACTGTATGAAATCTGTGTAGCTACGACGTTCGTGCACCCGGGTGATGTAGTAACTGGGATACCCTCAACAACTGTCACCCGAGGTTAGTCCTATCTGTCCAAATTAACCATAAGGACTAGGACCTCCTGTCGTTCCCACACATGACCTACCCTCCTCTACGTGAGGACTGGTATTCACTGAACATCAGGATGAACCGCCAGCTTAGCATGCCCACATTCATACTTTACCAATTTCAATATTCATTCATGAGTCATTCCTCCCCGGAACGCTTGTCCATAATCCACAACATTTCAATCCATATCATATTCTTTTCATCTTTCATTACAAATCATCTTAATTAAACCATTCGTTCAAATATCATAAAGGTACCAAATACCGAAAGTTAAACTTTAACTCAGAACGAGACCG